ACTATCTCTGGCCCATTATAGATACTTAATAAATTATTATTATTGTTGATATCCCTTAATAAACTGCTTATCTTTCTAAAGAGATGGCATGAGCTCACCAGGGAGAAACAGAGACAGACTCAGTGAGGGGGAAAGTGAGAATTTTCCAACTTTCAAGTCATAATCCCTTCTCCATTCTCCTCCTGGGATCTTGGGTACACGTGCACATGCACCCAGCATGAATTTCAAGTCACTGGGTCGGGGACTCAAACCACAGTCGACTATGTGGGAGTACAGTGACTTAACAGCTACCCCCTCTGCTGCCTCCAATTGCTTATTGTTTAACCCCTGGGTTTACTCTTAGCTTGCCAAATCACACTAAAGATGCTTCCTTTGTTTCTTTGTTTCCTTTCATTAGAAGTAAATTTAAGAGCAATCTTTTCTTGCCCCTCTGGCATTATATAAAGGTTAATTCGTGGGGAATTAACTTATTCTCAGTGAATACAAAGCTAGAAGTTCCCTCTTTCTTGAAAGAATTTATGACAACCTTGCTTTCTGTTACAGCACAAGCCATCTCATAATTTTAAGTTATCACAAACTTTGGCAAAATAGTTTGAAAACAAAATTGGTTTATGCTTTTCAAAAATAAATTCATACTATGTCATATCTTGCATTCTGAATACAATGAAAGAATTATTTTACCAGTTGGGAGGAAAACAGCAGAGCTATACCTTTTTAATATGCCTAGGGATAACTACTTTAGTCATATTATATAGATGAGTACACGGGACAAACCAATAGATTAACAAATATGGAGAATCGAACCTACAAAACTTTGTGTTTATGTCTTCCCTCATGCTTTTACGTTTGATGGCAAAGGTAACATCATTATGTGTGATCTCTGTTAGCTTTTGGGGAGCGTGGAATGTTAAGTTGGGGACTCGCTGTAAAGTGCTTTTTCAACTTGCATGCTACCTGTTGATAACATTTATTAAGGTCTATTCTCCTGAGATCCTTTTCCAAAAGTGTCCGAATAAATGGGTAGTTTCTTTGTCTTTAAAATTATTGAGACAGTTGAAAATTGATTACCACAAACTTAATTTTTTTCAGTATTTCTAAAACTAAATGAATTAGTCCAGTATGTTAACTCTATTGATTAAATAATAGATTACTTGGAATAAGACCACGACAATTTTTTTAAAGACTCTCCATTATTTTCAATTAGTATGCTTCGCAATCATAATTTTACTTTCAAAACACTTTACTGACCTCCTTCACTGATTTTCTTTTGTAGTATCTCCTAAGATCCCCTGAATCAAAACAGACTGAGTGTGGGCAGACTCAGTGGCTCAGTGAACTGCGTAACACGCAACGCGTGTGAAGCTGGATCCACGTGGAAGAGCGCGGATTCAGGGCTCTGTCCCCCTGTAAAGCCAAGTGCTTGTCCCCAGGATCTTGGCCAGCTGAGAGGGCTGGGAAGGCTTGAGACCTCATGGAGGATGCTTATCTTTCTGTCTCTCTGTCATTAAAGACATAAACTTGAAAGAAAAACAAAAAAGTTTGAGTGTTTACACAGCACTGGTACTGTTTTGAAGCATTCAAGCCAAATTTTGCCTTCAAGAAGTTTTTTTCTCACATTGTGGTTACTTATTTGTGTTGCATATGAAAATAGATTTGCTCTCCTCACCTATATTTATATGGACTTACGGAAAAATCTTTCCAAAATTAGGAAATGGAAGAGCATTTCTTTCTAATAAGATCTTGCAGGCTCATACATGCAATACGGTATTATTTCCTGCTAGCTATTTTTTCTCATTTTAAAAATAACCATAAGCTTTTTTTCAAAGAATTACTTATTTATTTTTATTTAACATTACACTTTAATTTGACCAAAGAAAGTTAGACAGAGACGGGGGTGGGGAGGGTGGATATATGAAAGCAAACCACCAGGTCCAGGATTCACACCACAGTCGGCCATGTGGGAGTCCAACACCTTAACCACCAGGCCACCAGACAGCCTCAAAATAATTACAATCTTTATACTGTCAACTCATTTCCAATTATTGACATTCCCTGAATAAAATAACCAAATAAAATACTATTTATTTATTTTTAGATTTTTGCCATAGGCTCGTGTGCTCACTGGTGAGAGACAGAGAGGGAAAGTGAGAAATCACCCCCTCCAGGGAGGATGGCCATGCCACAGTCCCTTCTCCTCCATTCTCCTTTCAGGATTTTAGACTTGCATGCACATGAGCCCAGCATGACTTTCAAGTTGTCAGGTCCAGAACTCGAATTGCAGTTGACCAACACCTTAACCATCACAACTGTTGGCCACAAAATAATCAGGTTTTCACTGAGCTTAAATTTGCTTTATATATATGTATATATGTGTATGTGTCTACACACACACACACACACACACACATATATATAATAATTACTTATTTGTACCATGAGCAAGACATATTCAGAGAAAGAGAATCGGAAAGGGACAGCACCCCAACAGCGTCATGATGCTGAGTCCACTTAGTCTCAGCCAGCACCAGGTCACGTGCAAGCATGTGGCCCACACATTCAGGCCTTGAACTGTGCCCTTTTCCATGTGCGACTGTCTTGTCGAGTGTCACACTTTATCACTGTATCACTATGTGGTCCCTAAATAAATATGTTTTAAAATTAATCAGCATCATCTGCTATTGTAACCATCACTTGATCACTCACAAACTTTCCTGTAATAATCATGTCATATTGAAAAAAATCTGCTTTCCGAGAGCCCAAAGAACGTCAGGCCCCGTAACGGTCTCTTCCAAGCCTTTGAACTGGAGTTTATTCTCCTTGATCGAATCACTCACTGTGAGTTCTTCATTACATGAACAGTATATAAACTGTGGGTTTTGCTCATTCAGCTTACGTGGGGTTAAGAAAAATTTTTAGATGTTCCTCTCTGAAAATTCATTATACATCTTCTCTACTGAGAACAGTCTTTCTCAAAATAATTGCGACAGCAAAAGGATCAGAATGCATTTAACATAGTTTAAACTGCTTAGTCTGTTGACCTTCAAGAATGAGAAAACAGGGAACCAGCAGTTAGCGTAATGGCTATGTCGCTGGATTCCCACGTAGTCGACCGTGGTTCGTGTCCCGGACCCGTTGGCTTAAAACTCACGCAGGGCGCGTGTGCGTGCGTGCCCAAGATCCCGAGAGGAGAATGGAGGAGAAGGGATTGCGGCGTGACCATCCCCCCTGGGGGGTGATTTCTCGCTTTCTCTATGTCTCTCTCTGTCTGTCTGGTGAGCGCACGCGCCCTACAGTGAAAATCTCTAAAAAAAAAGAATGAGAAAACAGAAAATGTGTAAGGTCAATCCGGCTGGGAAGAGAAGAACTGAGGGTAAAATACTGATTGATATTGGTTATGTACCGAAGTATGTTTTCCATGTTTATGGTGAGGTTCAAAAGTACAATATTTCTTTAAGTAAAATCACATTTTTAAGTTCTCTTTTTCTTATTCAGTACTCTAGATCAGTTTAATCTCTTCTAGATCTGTTTAATCTCTTCATAAAAGCTTTGAAACAAAAAGAAAAAGGAATGAATATTACATAGAATTTAAGTGAAGTATTAAAGCAACACCCAAATTCTAACATAATCTTCCCCTTACATTTGCATAGCAGGGGACTTATTTCCCCAAATAGGAGACAGTAATAAAACAAAGGTTAAAAAAAGTAATTTATTATTGTATTGTATTTAAAACTGGACAACTTGGAAAGTAAGAGAACATTCGCATTCTTCCTCTTTTAGCTATGTTCACGTAGAACATTGTCTTTAAGGAAATGAATATGCCAAGAAGTGGAAACTCCCTTCCCTCCTGAAGTGATGATTAACTTGTGGATCTGCACACTTTCAAGCCAACCAAGTTTGGCTACAATGGTGTATCTGAGCAGTTTCAAGTACTTTATTGCCTTTACAAATAAATACTATAAAATATTTGTCAGCATTTACATCTGTTTTACCTATTTAATAAAAAGAAGTGGTGAACATTTTATAAGTTATTCTCAAGCCATAGTTTATTTGTTGTTGCTTTTGTTGGTATGTGGGATGCTGAAATATTCTTAATTTACTTTAGTAAAAGGTGACTTGGAGGAACCAGCAGTTAGCATAATGGCTATGTCGCTGGACTCCCATGTAGTCGACTATGGTTCGAGTTCTGAACTCAGCAGCTTAAACTCACGCTGGGCGTATGTGCGTACATGCACAAGATCCCGAGAGGAGAATGGAGAAGGGATTGCAGCATGGCCATACCCCCTGGGGGGGGGTGATTTCTCATTTTCTGTCTCTCTGTCTCTGTCTGACGAGTTCATGCGCCCTATAGCAAAAAAACAAAACAAACAAAAAAACCCTCTCAAAAAAAAAAAAGGTGACTAAGTCAGTAGGTATAATACAGGAAAAGCATTTATTTATCTAGATCTTCAACTGAAATATCAAACATTTGAATATATATAGGCATAGTAACAAATTATTTTTTTCTAGTAAGTTTACTTAATCTCTAACCAACTGTCGTGCCTTTACATTCATATTTGACTCTTTCTGAGAATATTTTACTCTGTGCATTATATGAGGGAGCTTGAAATTGTATATGTAAAAAATGGAATTAAAGTACCAGATTATTTTGGTGTGGAAAAAAATTTGAAATCCATGCATAGGTTTTCTACAATACATATTTTTGTGAACTTTTTAAACACTCTATATAAATACTTGTTGCTAATTCATGTTGAATGTGAGAGTCTAGAATAATATTTGCCTATATTCCCAGACCCTTGGCTATTTATACAATCATTGTTTAAAAAAAGGATTAAGAAAAGAAGCATCAAGTTTTCTAAATATTTAAAATATTCTTCACTAATTCTTTAAGATATTATTCATAAAGATAACTTTTAAATTTTCTACCAGTTTACTTGCTATAGGGTACATTGTGCATTTCTTTTCATTTTTCTCTTCTGTTTTTTGTTTTTGTTCTTTCCCAGTTACTGGCTGACAAACAAAGTTCCCATCAAAAGACCCAGCACAGGTCTCCTCATGTACACACTGGCCACGAGATTCTGTGATGAAATTCACCTGTACGGATTCTGGCCATTCCCTAAGGATTTGAATGGAAAAGCTGTCAAATATCATTACTATGATGACTTAAAATATAGGTACTTTTCCAACGCAAGTCCTCACAGAATGCCATTAGAATTCAAAACATTAAATGTGCTACATAATAGAGGAGCTCTAAAACTGACCACAGGAAAGTGTGTGAAGCAATAAAGCACATTTTAAAACATACACGCAAACTGAATATGCACTTCTTTTCTGAAGATGCTTCCGAAGATTTGAACATAGGATCCAAAACAAGGCTGGGTTTCAGCATCCACCAATGGACTGTAAAGTTGATAAAGGACGTTTATGAGAAATCCACTACCAGCTGATGAAATACCTGCAAAGTGCTCTGAAAATTAAATAGTTTGACTTCAAGGGTCCTAGTAAGTGCCACTTCCACTAAGAACACAGTTTGAATGTATAATCAGTAGTGTTTACAAGATCCAACAATGCACTCACCATTATTCAATGAAGCAAAATATGTTCATCACTGTCGGGCCGCCGCTGCAATGCCAAGCACATTAGAAGAGGAACCCAGGAACACAACTCAGCCCTTGGGAAATTAAACCATCCTTGTCAGCAGAAATCAAGATGAAAATAGTTTGAGCAGTGAAATCATAAGATGAAGCAACTCAATGAAATGCCTTCAGTCAGGGCTGATCATGAATTTGACATTTTTGTTTCTGCTTTTGTTTGTCTTCTGGAATGTCTTTTGGTTTGGGTATTGGGGTGCTTAGAAATCCTTTCTGAGATACATATGAATGAGAAAAATAAACTTCAAATAATCATTTCTAAAGTTCTTATATTTTTAAACAGCAATCACACAAAGACTTACAATGAAAAAAACAAGTTTTGTTTTGCACAACTCTAAACCTCCAGATTATTTTTCAGTGGTGTAGAAGGTACCAGCTAAACTGTACCACTCAGTAATATTGAGCCATTCTAAAGGAAAGATGTTCTATGTCATCTGAGATGGTAAAATTAGCAGGAAAAAAAATGCACTTTTGGTACCAAAGAGTATACTCATGTTTCTACACAATAAATCATTCTCCTTTCATGAAAAGAGCATATTGTTAACATAAATATATTATCATGGTATAAATGTGAAAGTTGTCTCTAACTATTTTAAAATTTCCAAATTCAAACTTTATTTTTACTCGAAGGAAGACCTCCACACGTATTACATTTCATAATAATTTGGCGGAAGCATTTTTGCCCATCAGAGTGCATGTATGATTTATTTAAAATGTGACTTCCAGCTTTCCTTTTCTATACTCACCCTTATTTGTAGAGAAAGATGAGCATGCTGTTGATATCATTCTTAAATTTCTCAGTGCAGGAAGA